TATGATTTAAAAAATGCACAGGTTAATAATCCCATATAAACTTGATAATCATCTTTTACCAGAAGCGAACATTTGCAGCGAAGCTTTGTAGGAATAGCTTCTCAACTAAGTAGGATTTCTGTGAAAAAGAGCAGATATCACAGTAGATCAAGTCTTCTTTACGATAATGATAAAGTAACAATTCAAATTCACAAGCCAGTGATGATCTGTAAAGATGATTCTACCCAGTTGGATGATTAAGTGATATTGCACTATCCCTTGCTTAAGAATTTTTTGAGCAAGCAGTTCCACTGTGTTTGGCAGCATCCAGTGTATCGATGCATATAGCATAATTTGTGTTGGCTGCAATAATTACTTTTACGTGTTATGAATGATGCATCGGTGCCTGAGGTAACCTGTCAATCTCTAAACACAAGGGTGCAAACGTTATATGACCTAGATGAGCGGAATTATGCTGACTAATATAATCTCGGTATTATGATTTACTCATATTATGAATTAGTTTGCTTCGCGTGGGTTTCTAAGAAACCGTGAAATTAAAGATCAAGAAATCGAAGACATTTGCCATGGACATATTGGCAGAATAAATCAAAAGTAATTACAGTAACAATATATAACCCTGATATTTTGGGCGAGCTTTCGATACCGCCGTTATACATTAAAAATGATGATACCAGATTGAAGCGACGAAAATGCACAGTGTAAAGAAACAAAAATATATTTCTCACTTTACACCAGCAGCTTTATTTCATCGCCCCCTTGCTTCTAGACGTCTAGTGAGGCCATTTAAGCGTTTCACTGCGCCATTATATTTGAGCGCCTACAATGTATAGGATGCAAGACAGCGGCGGTATCGAAACGTCCCTTAGAACATCGGGGTTATATTTTGCCACTCATTCGCCTACGGATCATGGCAAGGTTCTTTGGTGGAATTAACTTTTCTTCAACCCAAGTTTAAGACGCGGTCCTCCGTCCTTTGTACTGCAGGCGCTTAAATACCACGTAGCCGTAGCCTGACTAAATGGTCCTCCTGGACGTCTAGAAACAAGGGGACGGTGTCTTATTGCTGCTGGTTTAAAGTGGGAAATAAATTTTTCTCTCTTTATACTGTTCATTTTCGCCGTTTCAATCCGGTTGCATTAATTGTAATGTTAATTACAGTAAGATCTATACTTTTTTCCGTTACTGATACATTGAAGCTGTGTAATAACCTTTACTGGAAAACTGTCAAGTCTTGACTTACCTATCAGTTCTGCTCAGCTGATACGGCTAAAGTACTTTCAACGATTTTTATCTTCTTTTTCCTAGCAGGTACCTTTTAACAGGGGTCTGGTAATCGAGTCAGCCTCCTCCCTTAAATCTTCACAGACTCCTCAGTTTCATGTCGTTCTTGACCACGGCACGCTGCTCTTACTTCGGTCTTCCTGTTTGTTTCTTCCTCGGCAGTATCAGTGCTTGGGCCTCATTTCCAACGTATTGCTTAAGTCTTCTTTTCATCGAACCAACGGAGCGTGCTTTCAACAAGCTTTTCTGAAATCGGTGCTACCCCTAGAATGCTTTTCTTTCGGATGTGGTCCTTTCTACTGACACCACATATCCATTTGAACATTCGCATTTCAGTCGAGTTCAACTGTTGCTTATGTCCCTTCAAGGTAACCAAACATTTAGCTCCATGCAGAAGCACCGGCCTTACTATCATTCTGTACACCTTCCCCTTTAGTTTGACGGAGTTTTCTTGTCGCACAGTACTCCGATCACTTCTCTCCGTTTGAGTCAAGCTTTCTTCGGCCGATTTCTTATCTCGCTGTCGATTTTCGCGTTATCTTGTAGGAAGGAGCCAAGGTAGTTCAGTTCTTTGGCTTGAGTCAACAAGCTCTCCGCTACTTTCACTGGTTTGACGAATTTCAACCTGTTTTCCCCAATGAAATAGCCCGCCATATATTCTGAAACCTTTGCTAGTCGAAGGCCATTCTTCTCAAGAGCTATTCTCATGCCTCGGTTTCTGATTCTGCAGCTTCTCTGCTTTCGCTGCATAGCACAGTGTCAATGTCATCTGCATAGAGCATGCAATATGGGACTGCTTCCTGCAGATCCTCAGGAATCGCATCTGTCGCCATCGAGAACAGGTATCGGCTAAGTGGGGATCCCTCATGAACTCTTCCGTTTCGCCGCATGTATTTTTAACTATCGTTGTCACTTTATCGTACATGTCTTTAGTAAGCCTGATATTTTTCTGGCACAAGCTTCTGCTCCGCCAGATTGCTTGCCTCAGGACTTGGTCAGAGACTTTCTCCAGGCCTCGGAGCACCATGTGAATGTTTTTTCTGCCTTCTATAATGCTTCGCGGCCTGATCTTAAAGCCAGGTTGGCATCCATCTTTAATTTGCCTGGCATGGAGCCCAATTGGTTCCTATTGATGTGTACCTCCTTCCTCCGTCTTTCGTCCAGCACTCTCTCGTATACTTTCATGGTGTGACTATGTTTATTTCCCTGCTAATTTTTACAGACGAGCATGCCCCCCTTCATTTTGTACGTTTGCATCAAAATTCTCTGCCTCCATGACCCTGGCATTTTCTCACATAATTTTGCTGAATGGCGCGCAGCGCCAAACCACGCCTTCTTGGCTCAATGCTTTCCATGCTTCTATGCGAACTCCATCTATTCTAAGGGCCATTTTATTTTTCATTCTGCCCAAGGCTTGTTCCACTTCCTCCGTTGAGATCTTTTGGATTAGACCCTGTTATTGTGGGATCTCTTCCGCGACCTCTCTGGGATGTTCATCGTTTAGTAGCGTTTGGAAGCGCCTTCGCCATCGGTTACGAATATTTTTCTCGTTGGTCAACACCATTCCGCTTTTGTCTTTTATGCACTTCATTTTGCCATCGTCTCTAGTTCTTCTTTCTCTGGCTTTTGCTATGCGACAGATGTCTTTCTCCCCTTCTTTTGCTGGAAGTTTTTTTGTATAGGCTTTGGCACGTTGTAGGTTTTGCTTCAGCGACTATTTTCTTTGCATCCCTCTGCGATTTAGCATCTCTGCCTTTCGAGCTGTTTAGCTACTGTCATTTCTTGAACGGCTCTTTCTTCTGTCGTATGGTCTCCTGCAAGTTCGCATTCCACTTGCACGTTTCTCTGTAGATATGCGTTGAATGGACCTCTGCCATTTCGTGCGATTTTGCTCGCCATCCGCACTGGTGTTTCGTCCACTTTTCTTTTCCAGTCTTCCTTCGTCATTTTTCTCGTAAATTATATTTTGAACACCTTCAGGATCGCGCTTCCACCACTGTATCTTCGGAGCTGTCTCCGTGCCAGCCTAAATTGACTGCTTCAGAGAGAGGTCTAGGACCAGTAGCTGGGTGCTGGTTTGTGAAAGTTTCCTCAGGGATTACCTTACAGTGTCTGACGTTCTTTATTTCGTTTTTTTTGGAGCAGGAAGATGTCGATGTTACTTTTTTCTGCCGGCTCTTGCAGTTATCTGGTAGAAGAATGTGTCTATTAAAGCCAAATCATATGCACCTTCCATATGCAGGATCTTCTCTGCTTATTTATTTAATATGCCATGTCGATGTTGCCAACGTGCCGGTGAAGGCCATGCCCGATTATCACTTTTTCGTTTCGCATATGTTTTGCATTGTCGTGTCTAGGCTCTACCAGAATAAAAATTTTTCGGCTTCATTCTGGCCAGTCGGGGAGGGGGGACGCAGGCATTTGATATTTTTAAGATACCATTTTCTAAAATAAACTTATCGCCCATGATTGTGTCGTTAATTCGATTGACTTTTAATACCCTATTTTTGTCAATACCACTTCATTCAGTACCTATCCAATTCCATTCCTTGTCCTTGATGTTCCACAGTAAACAAGTTTATGGCTTAGCTCGATCTCTTTCAACTTTTCACCTTTCCATTTTGTATCCTCAGTGCTAGCGATCGGAACTTTTCTTCTTTAAAAGCTTCCACTAGCTCCGTGCCCTTTCTCGGTATTGTTCCAATGTATCAAGCGGCTAATCGCCTTTTCTCGATTCATTTTTGTGCATGTCAGTCTCTCTTTCCGATTGCGGTCCTCTCAGGAGCTGGTTCCCTTGGTAAAATTCTTTTTGGAAGGAAATGACTCATGATATTTGGTTTTGACATTAGTTTTTTCATCCTGCTGCCTGTCTGAAGCCAACCTGTCTTTTCTAGCTCGGCTGGATCTAGCTTATTTGATGCCAGCATGTACTTTGCGTGTCACCGCTCTTTCGTCGGGTCATGCGGTGTTTTCTAGAACCAACTTTGCCTAATGTTCGTTCGCTGTACCCTCGTAACACTGTTGCTCACGACTGTTTATTCATCGGGTCCTCCATTTATTTCGCAGCTATCTCTCAATTTTGAGGGTTGTCCATTTATCTGCAACGTGTGGACGTGGTCTTTGACATCTGACCTTGCCTCGACACTACTACCAAACTGGCTTAGCAGTGGTCTTTGTCGATAAGGATAGTTCCAGTTCTAGTAATGTGGCGCCATTCTCTCATTCATGTCTATATCTGTATTAATGGTCCATTTTAATGATCTTTGGCATCTAGATGAACCTTGTTTGATCATCGTCCATTTTAATCCTCAACACAGACATTGCACAAATCTTTTCATAGCTTGATTTTTGCTCAGGAAGATTCTGTCGCTTCTGCCTCAATTTTTTATCGCCGTCATAACTTATAACAATTTTTAGACATTTTGCTTTCGAGTTGTTAAGTGGTAAACGTTGAAAGTTGCACTTTTTTCGCATTCAAATTTATATTAGTTGACTGATATTTGTTGTTTACTGTATATGTTAAATAGGTAAATTTTTCGCCGAGATGTTTATTATTACTTGCTAAGAACTGGCCGTCATTTGGTTGTTTACTGAAGTCATTGTACTGTGATGAAGATACATGCGACACAGTACATTTAAATTAGTTAATGTGCTCCATATGCAATATGTACTTGTATATATAGTATATGCTTACTCATATATGTCAATCTGATTTGTTGTTTGTACAGGGAGTTAACGAACCGGTGAATATCGGATGTGTGCTGAGCATTGGGACGGGTCGCATTCCTGATGTGCCGATCGAAGCGCTGAATTTGGACAGCAGTAACCCTCTGGATATCTTGAATACATTCAAAAATCTGGGACGGATCATCCTGGAGCAGGTTTCTGCGGCAGAAGGTAAACAAAAGAATTGCGTGTTTATTTTCAAACGTTGCGTTTGTTACTTGCAGGACGACCGGTCGACCGATCAAAGGCCTGGTGCCATCAGGCGAACATTCCGTTTTTTCGTTTTTCTACGCCGATGTCGAAGGACTTCCTGCTCGATACCAAGGACGATAAAGACCTTGTGCTGATCATGTGGGAGACGCTGGAATACATGTATTCGCAGGTCACCAGTGTGTTGAGTTTAGTACGTTTATTGGAGTTGACCGCTGGCAGTTGAAAGAGCCGTTAAGCTCCTGATCAATAACCTTTGGCTGTTGTAATGCTCGATATTTTATTTGTTGTTCGTTTTACACGATTTTGTCGCTTCCATCCTTTTGTGTTGCCCTCTTTTTCGTTACAGTCAAAAATTGTTTTATTGGCGGCATGATCGCTGATTCGGGTTCAGATTTTTTACCGTTTCAATAAAGCTTGAAAAAAATGTTAGAATAAAATATGTCGAAGTAAATTGTTCATTTTTGACTGTGAACGAAGTGAAATAAATCCCATACAGTATTTCATTGTGTCAGCTGCTATTTCATTGTGAAACTGCTGATACCCGCGATTTTTGCCTGGGCGGATTGGTAAATTTTCACCAAGCGTCGGGAATTATGTTCGTCATCATTCAACGAGTTGTTCTTTAGTTTGATAATATGATTTGCACTGTCAAAACGTCAGGTGCTCAGCAGATCCTATTGCGGGATCAAAGCCAAACGCCAGCGTAGCGGGAAACAGAATTTGCAGATGCATGCTTTGGGTTGATTTGCACTCCCGTTGTAGAATCTTCATCCGATTAATTATGGTATTTCCTGTTTCCATCCAGTGTATCGTTAAATTGACTAGTAGTGTCATTCAGTAGGACATAACTGACGATGACAGTGTCCCTGAATTGGTGAGTGTGGCGAACTCTAGGTCATCCTTTTTCATTGATTCATCATTTTTAACCTCTCCCGAATGTAAGGAAACTAACGATTTATGATATAATACTAAAGCATTATGCTCCCTTTAAATGTGACACTATTCGGCTATGGATTAAGGGAAATGTAGAGGGCGATGTTTTAGGATTCGATTGCTCCTTCATCGATAGCGTCGTGTCAGCTGCTGAAGTTGCTGGAAACTGGTCGTTAGTTTGAACAGTTCGTCAACTCAGAGAATCTGGATGACATCATAAGCATTTCTCACGTTTTTGTGTGGCTCTCAACGTTGCAATGCCAAATTATACTAGTTTCATTGAGGTTACGTTCTCCAGAATGTTTTCCTGCAGCTCTTTCCTATATTACCCGCTAAGACTGCTGGTTTAAGTTATGAATATGTTAGCATCGCTTGTGATTTCTGAAGTTACTGCTACTCCAAACTGGTTAATTAAGATGAGTTTTAGCGATTCATCCCATGATGACTGTATTCATTTCCAGCTGTCAAAAAAGATTTGGCGGCACTTTTGGGGAATATAAAACTTTTGCTGCATCAGCTAAATCCGGCGCTGAAGGAACGTCGATTCAAAAAAGTTGTACGGCAGGTTCGATTTGAGTTTGTTCGCCATTTTTCCCATTTGCCTGTTTATTTCTTGTTGATTGTTATATTTTTTATCTTTGTGCGCTTGACATCGAACCCTCGTAATGAGTAACAAGGAGTAATCTTCACGTTAATCTTAACAAAATATTTCTAATTTTAAACGATTACCTTTTAATAGGTTGCCAGCGGCTTGCCGTAGCAAGCGAATTACCAATAATCCTGGAACTCGCCCTAATGGTTAGTCTTTATCCGTTTACCAACTTTACCTTATCATCTTTCTATCGACAGTACTGTACATCAGAGAAAGTAACTGGTTTAAAATTTTCTGTAGGCCTTAATCAGGGCGTGTGATGGTATGAATGACTAACCTCGTCGCATTGCGAGAGCTTGTTTCCTCTCATCACATTTGATAACTTCGTAAAGGTAGGTATTATACCTATTAAATAAAACCATGTGACTTTCAGTAGAATTTTCCGATGAAATTAGAATTTAATAAATACTTATTTGAGTAAATGCATAATTTTATTCATGGTTAAGTAATGGTTAATAACTGATTTACGAAGCAGTGATCAGTTTCCTTTCCGGTGCAAGATCCGCAGCCATCTCATATTTCGTAGTGAGAAGTCGATAAGCCAGTAGGCTCAGTCGATCATGATGTGGGTCTGCTTTTGCGATGGCAGGTCTCATTTGAATCGTGTTCCTGCCTTAAATTAGATAACCTGATGGAAGTAGTAGTGAATAGCTCTACAGAGGTACTTTAGATTAAACATGGCATTCAGAATAATGATACTTGATTGAAACGGCGAAGCCATAGTTAAAGCAAGAAAGTATATTTCTCACTTTACAGCAACTGCTCTGTTGCACCGTTCCCTTGCTTGTAGACGCCTGGGAAAACCATTTAAGAAGGCGGTATTTAAGCACCTGCAGTGAACAGGGCGCAGGACGGTGTCCCAAACATGGGTTGAACCAAAGTATATTCAGCCAAAGAACATTACCACGATCCGTAGTCCAAAGAGTGGTTAACTGGAACCCCGATGTTGTGAGGGAGGCATTTACCTTGAAATAAAAAACGTCGAACAAGTAAAACTCTAAGACTAAGCAGTTATATCTAGGATATACTGATGATGTGTCAGCTGATTCGAAACTGAGTTGATCGAATACGCAGTTTCTTTTCTCATCGCTCGTGAGTTTGTTTCGCTGTAGTGACTTCCGAAATCTTCCTCTATTTTCAGCTTATTTTTTTGTTAACTATGTTTCTGAAGTTCTATTAGACGAAGCGATTTTTTATGATGCTGTATTTTGTTGCTGTTTAGCGAATCTTCTCTATCCTCCTTATGAAGGTCATCTGCTCTCGAATGCTTTATGTAAACTTCCCCTCAGTTTTTACGATATAGGTGTCCCTCCACAGCAGCGGAGACGATATATTTCCCATTGGCCTTGTGTTGACCTAAGATTTATTCACTTCATCTTACACAAAAATCCATCAGCTTATTCCAATTTGTTCATGAACCATAGTATGCTTTCATTCTGGTTTCTTTCGGAGTTAATCATCAATAGCTAGCCGCTGCGAACGTTATATGAACGGTAGGTTACCAGGTGCCATCATTTCTGATTGGCGTTTAGGAACTGCTTGCAAATTTAGGATTACGGTTAGTTGCTGTCCCATAGTTCGTTGAGCAAGGTCATATTCTGCTCCTGAAGGGAGGTTGCCAAAGAGTTTGTGACAGTCCAGTTTTTACGGATAACGGTGTGCGGCACCTGTAATTTATTTACCTTCAAATATGGGTGGTCTTATATATGGTTATTCTTAGACTGTTTGTCTGCTACTCTCTATTTGTCCTCTTCTTGAATTCTTTAGAGTTGACCGCGAACCGATTCGTCGTGCACATCGCCTGTGATACAGGTCATCTTGTGCGCGCAGTATATTAAAGACGAATTCTTATACAAGACTGTCGAAATAATCTGTCTTAACATTGCTCTGTCCTCAGACCGAAAATGGAAAGACATCAAAGGGAAGTGTACAGTGATGGCTGCTACCTCGAATATTTATTAGTCCAAAGTTTCTGTTGCTACTAATTGTCTCTGCGGGGCCAGCAACGAGCAAGACGGAGTTTCTTTCATATGATGTGCCCTCATAATGGCATCAATGCTTGCAAAATCCTCCCAATCGCATTTCATCCCAATAATTGAATTTAGACAATGCTGCATTATGATCAAATGTCCTGTACAGGGAAAGACTTGGAATAGGGCAATTCTGAATATCCTCGCTTGTCTGTTGCCTTTTTTTTCAAATCGAAACATCACAATTATGAACTATCAAGTAGGTGGACAGAATGACAAAGCAGAGACTCTCATGGAGTGCTTCTT